TACTCAGTAGTATCGTTGCCATACCGTATAGAGTACCAAGCTATGCCATGCCTACCCTGGCTGGTAATAAGGTGTTAGCTCTTTTTTATTATAGAGCACGAGAAGTTAGATAATCACTTATGTTCAAATACTTTAAAGACCACTTTTCTCACTGCCTATCCAACAAGCACATATATTCAGATACCTAACTATGCCAATAACAATCAATAGCATTCATTCCCAAATACCCCAACGACTCTCGCCCCAACTGTCCCCAGAAACAGCAGACGATGCCAGATCGTCTACATGCTCGCTTCGCAAGGTTCTGTTCCGCAACTCTTCACCCTTCACCTTTCACTACCTTGACAAATGTGCCTAGCAAGAAAAGCACCGAATTGGTAACCACTAGCCAAAAAGCCCATCAACAACCGGGATAGTAGCCAAGGTTCAGAGTCTAGGATTCTCGCTATCCTCGTCATTCTGGCCACCTAGTTCATCCCGGTGGCCCGCATCTCCGCCTCCTCCAGCTCTAGAGTCTCAGAAAAGATAACCTCCAGACGTTCCTGGTTTCTCATACGTCTCTGATGCTCCTTGTAATCCCCATCACTGATGAACGCCTCAGCTAGCTCGATTGCACCCTTGAAAGCTTCGAAAAGTCTACTACTTTCGGTACTGGCTGGTCGGCGCCACCCCACCCTTTCGACAAAGTCCATCTGTCCTCTTCGATGCGGCCAGTCCTTATGTTCCTCAGGATATCGCTTGCAAAGAGCCAGTTCAAAGTCAAACAGGGAGGATTCCTCCTCTGGATCAAGAGGCCCGTTCCATACCGCGTCGAGACTGCTTCCCGCAAGGTTGAACAGTTCCATAAGCTCTGCCGATATTGGCAACTGTCTGACCACTTCTGCGTTGTCAGATTCTGCTCGAACTCCCTTGTCATCGCGTTTCTGAGCCGTAACTCGCAACATATGTCCGTCTTTGATCAATTGTGCGGGATCATGGACGTAGAGTGCGATGCGTCCCAAGTTACGGACCAATGTAGTCATTTGACACGAGACGCAAGGGCCTTCGGGGTTGGAAATTTCCTCCTTCAGCCTAGCCAAAAGGCTCTCATTTTGATGTTGAGTGGGCTCGAATAAGGTATCTTTGTCGCCCGGACACCCACAGATCTTGCCTTTGAGATCAGTGCGACAAACAGGACATCTGTAAGGGATATCATTGGAAAGGGTGTGTGTTCTATACTCTTTGACACAAGGGGGACAGAACATATGACCGCAGGGGAAAATGATAGCATTGCAAGTCTTGTCCTCGGGGTTACTCATCTTGTCCTGGCACATGCCACATTCGAGCTCTAAACGCTCAATAGCTGTAGGATCATTGTTGATAATCTTTGCAAGCTCGGGATAGTAGGCTGCGGTGATAGGATTTTTAGGCGAAGACATTTTGGGAACCTGGTCACTGATAGTTAGGAGATGCTTTGTTAGTTGCAGGATTGCTGGTGGTTGATGGTCGGGTGGAAGAAGTTCCTTGCTACAGAGGGTTCAGAGGTGAGTTAGTGTTATATATACTCTGAGATCGAGGCTTGTGATATATCGCTGTCACTGAACATAGTCATTGTGCGAACGGAGACTTCACGCTTATGATACTGAACGGGCTCTTAATCTGCTGATCTAACAAGACCTTTGTTAGCACATAACCAGACTATCTTGCACAATGGGTCTGGTGAAGGAACAGACCGCGTCTAACTATGTTCTTTGAAAGCATGATCGTCAATTTCTTCTTGCACTGTGGGAGTTCTTCCATTGGTGTCGCTGAGGAGCATTTGTCTCTATCCCTTAGCAAGAGAGCGTTATTCCACTATTGAGCAGAGACTACCTTTCCGTTCATAAGCTAGGGCATAGTTATTACCTGATGATAAGGGTCTACGAGTAATCCATACTGCTTTCACGATAGAGACTTCATTAGCACTTGTCAGTCGCAAAAATGGTAGAGACTCTTACTGAGTGTAAGTGAATAATGATCAAACCTATTTACAAGATGGCCTAGAAGAATTGGAGACAATCCCAAGCCAGTCCATTCATGCATCATCTCTATAGTTCTTGCGCATATACAAACTCAAGTTCGAGGTCACAACGCAAACTTGACGATGAGCACAGCAGTTTATTCCTTGATCCATTACCGGATATCTGCATGAAGTGAAGCAAGTTGCCTCCTACGCGTTACTTACCTTACTTACCTTACTTACCTTACTTACCTACCCTTTCTTCAAACCACGTACACATCTGGCTCTTCATCTTCGTCATCTCCAGCTGCTTCTTCGTCGTCTCTAGCTGCTTCTTCGACGTCGTCTATATAATCCATCATACTCCTTTTCCCACTCTCTACTCGCTCTTCCATTTTTCTACGAACATTCTCATCAGACCAAAGATCGCGCAGGTCGTAAGCGAGGTCCAAGACCATGAGCTTTCGGCTCCCAAGCCAATTGTCTCTTATCTCCTGCTCCATCTTCTCGATGTGGCGTCTTTCCCACACGAGAAAAATATCCTGTTTGTCTCTCGGTTCATAGAGACGAATTTCATAGTTAAATACTGTTGAGCCATCATCAGGTACCGCAATCCCGTGGGCCTTCAGAAGGCCCTTTTCAATCATTTTAATCGGCACCTCAAGATCCATGGGCAACGGGGCCTGGTTGACGAGCCTCAACTTATCGTCCGGTGGGGGACCACCCCATGTCCTGCCTTCATATTCGACGCAGATTCTCAGAAACTGTCCATCGTTGACGACGTCAGTACAGTCCATTGATATCTTCATCAACATTTGCAGCCAGGTTGTGAAGACATCCGCATCGCAATTGAAGCAGTACCACCGATTACGCCGCAGCTTTAGGATGTCTTCTATAAACGCAATTGACTTTCCTTCGTCCCTGTGAATCAGACTGCCCTTCTCACACGGGGCTAGGCAAGTTGCACAATGCAGACACGCACGGCACGTTGGGCAAGCATGGTGGAACTCGTCGTCGTTTTTGCTATGGGCTACCATCGCGTCTGCGCATCCTTTACAGTAGATGTGCATACAACGGAGGACAAACGCCCGGAGTTGAGGATCAGCTCCATCTTCCAATGTCATCTGTTCGTGGCAAATTCCACACGTGAGTTGGATAACCAGAATGTCGTTAGGATCGTCGTCACAAGCTTTCAAGAATGCGGGGAAGAAGGTTTCTGTGATAGGCATCTTGGCGGTGTGATCGAAAGAGCTGTCGAAAGAGGTTGTGGTCGCCAGTTGGTTAGAGATGAAATGCTGGTAATGTTGAGTTTGCAGGCGTACAAAGGCTTCTTTGCGCGCTTGATCATTCGTATCCATAGCTGGATGTGATGGTTTATATAAACTGCCTTAAAAATTACATCTTTTCCCTCATTTGATTATTTTGAACAGGATGAGAGTTCAGATAGACGCAGTATGTGAGCGGTAGGGACAACTCACTGTCAATCGATACCGCAAACCAAGCTTCAAGATCGTAGACACGTCCACCAAGTTCCAAAGAACTCAATTGACAATACAAGCACATAGCCTGAACATTACGGCAGTCAGAGAACAAGATTTAATTTGTTTATTCTCAAGGTCTCTTACTTGGATGGCTGGTAGAGCCAACAAGGTCCTTTGTTATTCTCACGGGTCTTTAGCCGTTGGTCAAGTCTGCGCCAACCCAATTGAGTAAAGGAACTTGTCAACTGGCTTCTAATAATAGCCACCTCTGAATTTGTGAATATATATCAAGAATCCATTGATTACTGCTTGAGACCAACAGTCGATGCCATGGCATCTCATGTTGGGAATGAATTCCGTATGGGCTTCCGCAGTGACGTAGGGTAACGTGATCAGCATGGACCCTTGCAATGCAACATCGAGGGACGTTTCAGGAAAATGTGAGATCTGACGTGTCCCAATCAGATTTGACTGTAACCTGTTCCAAGGCCTGTATTTTCCATTTATGGAAGGTATCCAGTGGAGTCAGGCCATTCGCTGGCCATGATCGTCGCCCTATCTTCAACGCTATTGCCGTATCTCTAGCCTGTCAGTTGGCTCACTTTGAACGACATTTCTTGTTTCACTGCGACATGACGGTTGCGTCTTTGGAGTTCCTGTCTCTAGCATGTGTATGCAGTCAAATTCTTCAGCATGCGAACTGCTGTGTAAGCACTCAGTCAGATCATCGCTGTGAGGCACACCACCATCTTCGATCTAATGCACTTCAACGAATATAGACCAAAATATTGGTGTTTCAGTTCAAAAATAAGCCACAGCGTTTGCGGGAGACTCGACCGAAGACAGCAGTATTTTTCATCCCCTATGTCCAGCTGTCAATCTTCAATTGGGTACCGAGTATCCGGAAGGCATATTCTGATAAGCGCCTGGGAGCTCGGTTATATATCAAGTGGGACGCCCAGCCAGTTGGGAGCTGATCCGGCAGGACGGTAACGTATCGCTACCATTCAGTCGGACTACAACTCAGCCTTAAGTCTAGATAGTGGTGTTGATAATACGGTGAAGAAATATAACCTGCCCTCGAGACCAAGTCTCTGACGTTAGTACTGTCTAGCACCAATAGTTTCTTTCTCTTCTTCCATACAGATGACATGAAAAATGTCCATAATGGGGATCAGGCATCATCAGTATGCAGGAACACCGAAATAGTGCTTCGGATAGCGCTAGGAGGGCATCAAGTTCAGTCCATTGGTGAGAATATCTTCATTTCCTGCTGCAGTCAGCTCGTTTGCCGCCGTTCTGGATCTTGTTGCTCTCGGATCATGCCCGTCCATGATATGAGACGAAGAGTTCTCTATAGCAACGCGGACCTTGATGCAGCTTGAAATTGTATAAAAAGTTGAAGTATCTGCTGGTTTTGAGATTCTGTAGCAACTCCTCATCAGATCAAACACACCCCGACAGGCTTCGGGTTCCCTTTTCATTCATTCGTTCCCTCGTTCGTTCATTGAATCAGTTACTTCATTGCTTTGAGTTTCATCATGAAGTCTTCACTCTTTCTCGCTTCCTTTCTCCTTGCACTATTCCCCTCTTGCCTTCATGCAATGGCCATCCAAGGTTTTCCTGAAGACGTGAGGATCGGTGAGCTGACCTTTGTCGAGGGGGGAAACACCACCACGACAAAGCGTCAAGTCGCGGACCCCCCTGACAACTGTTGGGTTCAAGGCCTTGGCCAGTCAAGCTACTGGTTTCTACCAGTCTACTCAGGCGACGATGTGTATGCCTGTATCATGGCTCGCAAGAGGATGACAGGGTCGTCCTGGGTTTGTCCTAGAGATGACTGGTGGCCAGACTCCTACGTTGATGAGATCGTCTCGGCAGGTCAAGAACAAATCTTCAAAGAAGGTGGCGGTAAAACAACCGAAAAGGGAGTTTTCAAGGCCCGGTTCGAAGGAACCACTCGCAAAATTGAGGATAAGGAGGGCATGTCAGCCCTGCTTGACATGCTGTTCCGATATACCCTGCCCAACTGCGATGCTAGTTATTCACTCTGCGTGACCAAATCTCGTCATTACTACTACCAGTACAAAGGAGATGTAAGTATCCCTTGCACCGATTCGTCTAAGATGTGCTAACAGAGACAAAGACTATTGGTATTAAACACAAAGAGTCCGACTGCCGTGGATGGTTTGGTATTGGCGGTGACACCTACGCTTACTGCCCTGGGGGTAGTCATTGCCAAAAGGATTAGACGGAGATTTGGATTTGTCAACAGTTATCCATATGTTTAGTTCCTGGTTTATGTTTGTCTTGCTTGCGTGTTTTCAAGGGTTGTGTATAACGTGTACCACGTACGATCTAGATTATCTGTTGTTAGTTGAAGCGACGCAAAAATGAATGGATGAGTAATTGGTAATATGTTTATTTCGGCTGTGTCCGCGTATTCAAGTTAACCTTCATTAAAGAGTTACATTACACCCCACGCGTGTTACCCCCGATGTGGCACCTGTAAATGAAAGACCGATAGATAAAGGAGACGTCATTTTAGGTTTGCGAAAATCACAGACAGTAAAAATTCCTAAAGAGAGTCTGGGGCAACGTTAGATATTATCGTTCGTTTGGATTGAAGCGCGCGGCTCGCAAGTTTCTATTTCTAGGTAGTGCCCGTTTCCCGTCCACGAGAGTTGAAGTCCTCATTGAGTCTCAGCCAACGAATCCGATACGAGCAATGCCGCTCCAGACCACAAAGGGGGGCCTGTTTCAGCATAGAGGGTTGGCATCCAATCAAGCCTCTGATGTCATGAGCCCCCCAGAGTGCCCAGTTTTCGCTGCTTAACTTCGCTAGGTGGGGGAACTTATCCTGTCGGCTAAGCAGCCGCTGCAGCGCAAGATCCAGTGAAGCCCCCCTGTTGTAAAGATTAGTGCACATGTGTCCAATCATACACCGCTCCGTTCTTCTTTTGGAATTGGTTGCCGCCCGTGTGAGGGCAGGGGTCGCCAGCCATGACGCGACCGATAATAGGTGCAAGTCCAAACACCGAATATCTTGGAAACTCAACCTAATACCCAAAACCCTCTTTTTCGTTACATCTTCATCTCAGCATATCTACCACTTGTTTTCTTTCTTACAAACAGTTTGGCTAATGGTGTATCGCCTACGTTGTCAACTGTCATACTTTATCACTTATCACGTTTCAGATTGTGCTCCAATCCCTTGCAGTATTCTTTGAGAACAGGCCTTCTTAATATTCTCCCCGTTTGGGGCTCTCGCTCTCCTCTCTCCTCCTGTTCCCAAGTTCCAAACTGTCGACGGCTTCGATTTCGACATGTCGTCAACAGATTCAGACGCTTCGGCGTCAGCGACCGATTCGGCAACAGGAACAGCAGCTTCTGTCACCAGCTCTATCGCGAGCTCCCTCCTCTCCTCAGCGATCTCCGCCTCCCAAACACTAAGTCCATCTCGCACCTCGCCCGATCGTCTAACAACAACGACTTCAACATTCCAGGGAGATTCGACCAGCGCTGCGGACAAGGACAAGGGAATCGGCGTCGTCAGTTTCCTCACTGCCGTGGCTGTCGCTGTGGCAGTTTTTGCAGTCCAGATTCTGCTTTTCCTAATTCTTCGCAATAAACTGGCTCGCATCTTGTAGGTCGAAATCGATCGTCGCTTCTGACTCCGACATCACTGACTCTTCCTAGCAAACCCAAGACCTACTTGGTACCTGAACGAGAACGAACCGAATCACCGCCTAATAAGCCCCTTGCTATGCTGAAGACATTATGGCATTATGGAGATCGTGAAGTTATCGAAAAATGTGGTCTAGACGCCTATTTCTTCCTCCGCTACCTCAAGACACTTCTGATCATTTTCCTTCCCATTGGCGCCATTGTTATGCCGATTTTGATCCCACTGAACTACGTTGGTGGTCTCGGACAAAAGGTTGATGTCAGGGACGACGATGATGAAAAGAATGAAGGCACACCTACTGGTCTCGACACACTCTCATGGGGAAACGTCAGTCCCAAGAACTCTAGCCGATACACAGCACATTTAATCATGGCCATCCTGGTGGTAATTTGGGTTTGCACGGTTTTCTTCTTTGAGCTCCGGGTATACATCAAGGTTCGACAAGACTACCTTACAAGCGCTGAGCACCGACTCAGAGCTTCGGCTACTACCGTTCTAGTCAACTCTATTCCTGCCAAGTGGCTCAGCGAAGACGCTCTGATGGGTCTCTTCGATGTTTTCCCTGGGGGCATAAGAAATATCTGGCTCAACCGAGATTTATCATCACTATTGGACAAGGTCAAGGAGCGCAACAAAATTCACCTGGCACTTGAACAGGCAGAGACAGATCTGATCAAAGATGCCAAGAAAGCACAGCTTAAGCAGCAAAAGGCAGAAGAAAAGAAACGACGCAAAGAATTGAAGCTTCGAGCCGAAACAAAACAAGAAAGAGCAGACCGGAATGCTAAAGACGACGCGGCAGCCCAGCGAATGGCACAGAGCGCTTCAGGTACGGCGGCTGGCGATCAACATAATGTTCCCCACAGCGTGGATGCTGGTGTTCGTGAGTCTCAATATGAGACGTACAACCATGATCTCGAGCATGAGCATGAGGAGCACAACAAAAAGAGGGGCTTCAGGGTACCTGTCCTAGGTGATCCGCTCGCTAAAGTCGGGCATGGAATTATGGGGGTTGTGTCTAAGGCTGGCAACAACGTGGACGACACTCTGGAGACAACAAATGGTTTCATGGGCCTCTCCCAATCTACCGAACCTCGGACTACGTCTCGAAACTCTGATCGAGTTCGTGAGCGGGCCTCAGTGGACGAGGATGAGCTCAACTCTCCTTCAGACACTCTCCGGGTTCTGAACAATCAGTCACGAAACGGCAGGGCCTCAGCTGATAGTACCGCAGCCATCAACCCCCCACCAAACCGGGAGCATTTTGGCAATCCTGGTAACACTGTCCGAAAGTTGGAGAACATTGACGAAATTTACAGCAAAGAGGAAGCCAAGTGGTGGGAATTCTGGAAGCCACCTCCTGGTGCTTATGCTTCACCTGTTCCCCAAGGAGGTGTTTCGGCAGCATTCAGGCAGAAGAAAACGAACGAGAGCAAGCCTTTGTGGCAAAAGATCAAGTACGCCCTCCCGTTCATGAGCCCGGAGGATGAAGGAGAGCCCATAGAATATCCTACAGCCTACAACACTGAGTACAAGGAGGATGCCGAACCAGCGGAATGGGAGAAATATCTTAAGAAGAAGGATCGCCCAACGCATCGTCTCCCTCTATTCGGACAGTCCTGGCTTTTCGGAGTTCCTTTCGTTACTAAAAAGGTTGATACAATCTACTGGTGTCGTGAAGAACTGGCCCGCCTCAACCTGGAAATTGAAATGGACCAACAGCATCCCGAACGATTCCCGCTCGCGAACTCTGCATTTATCCAGTTCAACCACCAAGTTGCGGCTCATATGGCTTGCCAGAGTGTCATTCACCATGTCCCTAGACAGATGGCCCCGAGAATGAACGAAATCTCACCCAAGGATGTTGACTGGGATAACATGGCGTTCAGCTGGTGGCAAGAGTGGCTACGATCTGGGCTTGTCTTTGTTACCGTTGTTGCCATGATCTTCCTGTGGGCCATCCCTGTTGCTTGGACAGCCGCGCTGAGCCAGCTTGACAACCTTATCCGATCAAATCAGTGGCTGTCTTTCCTTAAGGACAACGATACAGTCCACAATATCGCGAAGGCCGTGGCTGGTGTCTTGCCAGCAGTCGTCCTCGGTATACTGCTGGTGCTGATTCCCATCATTCTGGATTTCCTCGCTCGCTTTAGAGGTGCGAAAACAGGTTCCCAGAGAGCCGAGTTCGTCCAGGTCTTCTACTTCGCCTTCTTGTTCATTCAAGTTTTCCTGATTGTCTCTATTGCGTCGTTCTTCGCGGCATCGCTTGATGAGCTAGTACACAACGTTCAAGAACTCCAGACCGTTTCGGACGTCCTGAACCTGTTGGCGTATAATTTGCCCAGTGCTGCCAATTACTTCTTCTCTTACATGATTCTGCAAGCCATGTCAACCAGTTCTGCAACTCTCCTCCAGCTCGGTGCTCTGGTCATGTGGTACGTTATTGCCAAGATCCTCGACAGCACTGCGCGTAACAAGTGGTCGCGGAACACCAATCTGCGTCAAGTGAAATGGGGCGCATTCTTCCCAATCTACACCAACTTCGCGTGTATCGGCATCGTCTACTGTGTCATCGCACCGCTGATCTCCATCTTCGCCATTCTCACCTTTGCGCTCTTGTGGTTTGCTCAACGCTATGCTATGCTCTACGTCACCCGCTTTGAGCATGATACAGGTGGTGTCCTGTACCCTCGAGCCATCAACCAGACCTTTACTGGCATCTACTTCATGGAACTTTGCATGGCTGGTCTGTTCTTTCTCGTACGAGATGAAAAGGACAACAGCGTCTGCACCCCTCACGGCATTATCATGATTATCGTTCTTATCCTTACCGTCCTGTATCAAGTCCTGCTCAATTACTCATTCGGACCACTCTTCCGCTACCTCCCGATCACTTTCGAAGACGAGGCGGTGTTGCGTGATCAGGCATTCCAGCGAGCCCAGGACCGCCGTCTTGGGCTTTTGGACGACGACGAGCTGGCGGAGGAACGTGATAGCTCCGATTACCAAGAGAAGGATCAACAACCACAGAATGGTCAAGGTATTGAGATGCGAAAGTTTGGTACCATTCGACGCCCTGTGAAGCAGGTCGGAACATGGGCAAAGGATGGCGGTAACCAGCTTCGCAAGTTGGCCGGTGTCAGCAAGGATAAGGACAAGAGTAAAAGAGCCTCGGAATACCGACGAAAGCACCGCCAGAAGGATATCGAAGCTCAGCTTGCCATTGGCGAAGCTCTCTTTGGCGGTATTCATGACGAAATCGAGGACCTTACACCCGGGGAGAGAGATGCGCTCGTTAGGCACGCGTTCCAGCACGAAGCTCTTCGGGCCCGCCGGCCTACTGTCTGGATTCCGCACGACGATCTTGGCATTAGCGATGACGAGATCCGTCGAACACAGGCATACAGCGAGCACATCTGGATCAGCAACGAGGGCACGGCCCTCGACAGCAAGGTCCGAGTAGTTTATGGCAGAGCACCCCCGGATTTCTCCGAGGTTGATTTGATCAACCTGTGAAACATGGTCAATAGCTTGAGCAAGAGGGGGATTTTACGATTATCAAA